AAAATGTTTGTTCAAAAATGTACTAGAAAAGCACGGAGACTTTTCATATGACCTAATATAAATAAACTTATGTAATATTGAAAATAACTTAAAAGCTCAAGTCAAGCAAGTAATGTAACTGGTTTGACAGCATACATCGTTGAACTGAGTTTCTCAAAAATTGTATGATTTTTCAGAAGAAAAGTGGAATCACACAGGAAATGTTTTCTTGGGACGAAACGTAAAGTCTGAAAAAATGAATAAAATCTTCTGCGAATACAAATTACAATTTTTGAAACTATCTGGAGGATCACGTGACATCAGTCGTCGGTTGAGGATATTCACGTCTGTCATGAAGGTTGACACGCACAGCTTATAAAGGTGGACATTTCGTTTGACGGTTTTTCCAATCGCAAGTCAAAGTGAAGGCATATATGTAGAAAAGAGCAAAACAAACAAACAAAAAAAAAAAAAAAAAAATTCACGGTTTGCAAGGATTAAATAAAAATTCGCAAGAATAGTTTCCATTGAATTTTCCATTCAGTGGCTAAATGAAATTACGTAAGAATAGTTTCTTTTGAATGAAAGGCAAATTTGGTGCTTTCAGTTTCCCTTTCATTCAAAATAAACTATTTTTACGTCATCTGCATATTTTTAATTTTATATTATGTGGCGCCTTTCTCTCGATATTCATTTACAAATCCAAAATGGGAAAAGCGCTATAGCTGTACCATTTCCGGAAATTTTCATAACCATCAGTTAACTGAGAAACATCCTGAATTATTGCCATTTATTAAACTAAATACATGTCTTTCGAATATGAACATTTAATTGTCATTGTGCAGTTGTGTTACTTATATCTGCTTCAATAAATAACACAGTTACTTATTTCTGTTAAATATATAATCCATTTTAAATACCGTGAGTTTATATTGAATTATCATGAGAAATGCAACAAGTCAAAAAATGTGTCACATATATTAAAGATTAATGATGCTGAATTTCCAGTCACCAATTCCTAGGTAGTTTAAAGTTATAGAACTATGGAAAATATCAGCTTAGGCCAGAAACCGAGATATTAAAAGAACGAAAACAGTAGAAAGGAATTATATGGCTATGAAGTATTACAGATGCATAAAATTCGAACCCCTATTCTGAATAAACAGTCCCTGCATCAAGGTAAAATTTCTGGCCCGACTACCCCATTACGTTTCTTTTTTTCTCGAGTACATAATACTCAAGAGAAACGAAAAATAGTTGTTAAAAAAAAACCTAGGTCTGCATTAAAATGACTAGTTCGAAGGAGCTCAGTTTTTCTTGTTGGCAAAACACATTATAAGAAGCAGAGAAATTACAGCTAATGACACTCAAAATGATAAACGCTAAAGAAATGACAACATTATATACCATTCAGAAGTCTTCTTTATATAAAAGAAGGAGAAGATTGGATTTCCTTTTGTTAAATGAGAAAAAGGTAAAGAGGGGAAATTAGAGCAGATATTACATATGATAATTACTTTGAAATACGTAAATGTAGAAACGTCTGAAAACCGTTTTAATTTCTGCATATACATTTGCGGGCAAAAATTATTGAAATAATCAGATTTAATGATATAAATAGTTATTTATGTTTCCTCTTTACAGGGATTTATCAATGATTGGTTATTGAGAACGCAGTTGTTCATGTTATCGTCAGAGTAAATAAACGCTAAAGTGTTGTAGATTAAGTGTAGTGTAAGCATGTTTCAAATTTTTAAGTCTCAATTTCAGGTAGAAAATTTCTTCTGGTAACTAAAGTTTTCATGTTATTAGAAATATTAACTGAAAGTGAAGCAAATGATTATAAGCAACTATACACATAAGTATTTTGAAAATAATTAATAAGATTAATAAGATATTAATAAAATTAAATAATTAATAAGATAATTATTAATATTTCCAGAGCTTTTGAAAATCCACGAAAATTTTATGAAATAAATTGAAGTTTTTGGATTTAGGAATTAGTTATAGCATTTCAAATGAGTTCCCAAAAAAGAAATGAGGAATTTTATTTAACGAAATTTCGCATAATGCAGCACATTGATAGATACAAATTATATTTTGTTTGAAACGTATTATGAGTAACCATAGGAATGTTAAATCATTATCCAGGTTTTTACTTATTATTTAAAAAACTAGTCCACGATGACTCATATTTTAAATGATGTCTTTATATTTCAGCGACTGGTAGCTAACTTCATGAGACTTGTGTCACAATCGGTTTCGAAGAAATATGAATCAAGTTTGATTGATTTTTTACTCTAAAAACTTTTTCATTTATAGGAAAATAATTTTAAAAAATCTTAATTTACGATCAGTAAGAGAATAGATAAACTTCGTTTAAAAACAATAATTTAATTTTCATAAAAATATAATCATTCACTAAAAAGTTTTGCTTTTCAACAAAATTTACTCTTAGGTGCCATTTGCAAGGAGCACTTGAGCATTATATTGTAACAGCAATTCAGCATTAAATTAGCACACTTAGCATTAAATGTTAATAGATTAAAGGACTCTTAAAAATTTTAAGGATTCAATAAATTAATTTGAATTAAAAATAGGACGAATTAAATAAGAATAATTTTTCAGTTTTAGCAAAACTAAACTCAAACTAAAACTCAAGTCTACAGCACGAAATCTGCTTCTTGGAGAGTTGGTCACTGATTTTTGGGTGGTCCTAAAGTTTTGTGAGAAGTTTTAGGGCGAAACATGCTTTATTTTATAGCTCATTAGAAAACAGATATTTTATTTTACGCGTGATTTAGCATTTGACCATAAAACGCAATCAAATTTTAAAGAAAACATTGAGCCTCACAGATTGATATTTATTACGTGCTCCGCCGTTAGCCACTGCTAGGCAAGAGAGGGATGCCCTGTGGAGGACTTTTAAGGGAAACTGGCTCTTGTCCACGTTACACATAGGAAAACAACGACAACGCCCATGCAAATCCGGGGTTCAGACCCCGGCGGATGGACTTGTGGAATAAACCCCGGATATAACTGTATTTAGTGGCTTTTGCCACTCTGCCGCTGGTGGGCCTTACGAATGATAATTGCGTTATTTGGTAGCTTTCTCTAGGTAATTATTTGGATGAAAATTCTACAAATGATACTAAAGACAATGAATTTTTCCAGCTTCCAGTAAAGCTAATTCTATTTCATATTTGCGTCTTCTTTGTTTCATCATTATATCAAATTTCAAAAGAGATAACATAGACATGTAGTGAATTATTTCAACATTTGTCTATTTGTACAAAGAAATTAAAGAAGCAAAGTACTATAAAGTTAAGATATAAAAGAAGTACAAAATTTGTTTAATGTTCAGTATAAAGATTTGTTGAAAATTTCATACGAAACACCTGTGGAATAACTGACTAAAGAATAAATAAATAATACTGTTATATGATAGAAACAAAAACCTGCGTTTTTTAAAAATATCAGAGTTATGTTTTCTTGTAAGCATGAATTAAAACGTTTGCTCCTTTGTTTCATTTACATACGAATTAATTTTTCAAACAGAATGAAATATTAATTATAAACATGAATATTTTAACGATTGTTTATATTATTTTTTTAATTTATTAATTTATCTATTCAAGTGCATTTTAAAAGCTCGTTCTGAAAATAATTTGACTTAATTAATTGCGCATTAGGAAAGGATAGAATTTGATAGATGCATAAAGATAACACGAAATACATTCAGAATCAGATGGTTAATGTAGCTAATAATTCATTTTTATTGCGAAACTCACGTCATTACTGGTATTACTAACACATATAATTAATTATATTTAATTAATTACCATACTAGAGTATTGTATCAAAAGCTTATATATCAGGAATTTTCTATATATTGGTTAATATCAAATACCTTAACCAGTTGATTTTCCTTTTCTAATTTTTACTTCATTTCAATATTTTGATTTTAGATGCATAGCCTAAAACTTGTAGACATCAAAATATAGTAAGAAAGTTTAAATCGTAATGTAAAACTTTAGATATGACTGTAGTGAAGTTTACAAACAGCTCCTATGTTTATTCAAAACCTCCATAATCAACGAGCAAAGTTTTAAACTTTATCAAACATGAAACTGTTTAGCCATTAGAGCTCTTTAACTAAAATTTAACCCTGAACTCTGTTATTGGTAAAGTAATAATATCGTTCTGAAGAAATAAAATTATTTCTTTCCGATAAAATAAGGAATTGTAAAACTTTTTAAAAATCCTTTAGCGTATATTTAAATGCGCATTTTTGTATTTTTTTACATATAATATTTTTAGCATGTTCTAAATAAAAACTATATTGAAACTCAACGTACTATTTCCCAAATGATTATTTTATTCTTTATTATTGTTGATTTTTCATCCAGAAATAAAAATAATTCTGTCAGTAATAAAGCAAAAATATTTTGTTTTTTTAATTAAAAAAATTATCAAAAAAGGGCAAAAATTATTATTTTTCGTTAGCTTCGTTATTTTTCGTTAGTTTCGTTACTATTTTCGTAAAAACTATGATTTCTGAATTTGCATGTTAAATGCCATTATTTCTCAGATACATGCTATATGAAAATAAAATTCGGTTTTGCAAATTTCCTATCACGTTGCAGTTTGTTAATGAAATGAGATACATTTCAATAGATTCATTAAGGAAAAATTCACAATGACCAATTTTATCACTGGAAAAGATTACATTAAAAACCATTATGCGTTTTTGAATTCGATTACTTTTTATACGCTTTTCATACTTCCAGAAGTTTCATTCTAGTTAAAAGATTATTTCCCTCAAAGATACTTTTGCAAAATATCACTTTACATGCTGATTATTCAACAGCATGCACATTAAAAATAGCACTTTCTCTTTGCATGTGCTTGTATTTAAGAACTTTTCAAATATACATGTTAATTCTTGCAGCGAAACCATAAAGTCTATAAATTATGACTAAATAAATTTAAATTCAAAGAATGCATTTAAAATGACTCACCGGGAAAAGGATTCATTTCAGTTTAACGATAGGAATTGAACTTCAAGGGAAATTATTAGCTAGGAAGGAAGTACCGATGTACTAGACCTACCGAAGTTGTCTTAAAGCTTCACAAACGAGAACTGGAAAGAGCGTAACTTGCGTTTTATATACTAGCATGCCGGCAGGATTTGATGCACTAAAAGTGGCAGTAGGGTTACTCTTCGCAAAAAGGAAATGTGTCGCCAACAGTATCGCCAAATCAACACGAGTATCACGTGCGGAATGTTTAACACAGCGGGTAACCAAGAAAGTTTTATAGCGGGTGAAGATGCAAGTATTAAAACAAAATACGAATGACAGAATTATTTTCGGAATGAATTATTTTCAGAATTAAGAATTTATGACTGAATTACTTTCGGTTTAAGATACTTAATAGAGATTCCGCACATATGTAGAGAGAGGGAGACAGATATACGTACATAATTCTGTTATATTTTGCGTATCACAGTCCATAAATGTTTCATCTCTGCATCAAATAAATACGAGTTAATTTAGCTTTCTTCTAAACTTTGCTTTTTGGTATTGCAATATTTTGTAAATTGTTCTTAAAATTAATTAATTAATTGTAATAACACTTTTCGACTTGGAACCGTTAATAACCGAGAATCCAGTACGAAAATCTAGTACTGGTAGATATCAGTACTCAGTGCTAAATCTAGTTCACTTCTGAACGTTACCTTCTGGTGTTCAGTACTAAATTGCATTTAATCTGTGCATTTAATTTAGATCTCCGTAGTAGCGCAATTTTAACATGATCTTCATGTAATGTAATGTATTTAAATATGAAATATTTTTCCATTAGAAACTTCTCCTCGAAAGCATCCATTATCAGATAAACAGCTCTTGGTTCTTTTCCAAGCACACATTTTAGCCTTCTAAAACGCGTAATTGAGAAACATTACGTGACTGTACCTCTTCATTTTATTCTTAAATATTTAAAAAAAGTAGTTATGTTTTCCCCACAACAGTCTGTATATTGTAACGGGCTAATAGTACGTTGATATCTGTTTTAATGATCCCTCCTGATGTACAGGGCGAAATTAGCAATTTATTATAAACACTAAAGTATAATAAGAAACAGTCTATAGCTCAAGGAAAAAGCGGATGTTAAACAGTTCCTCATGAGCGCACTATAGTCAGATGCTAAACTCACTCACAGAATTAAATCAAAGTTCAGTTAACACTAGATCTCACAGTTAAATAACAATAAATTAACAACATATCCCGAGCCGTATTTATATAGGGTAACAGAGCACGAGTCTGGCGTAACACCGTATTCTGGAACTTTCGAGAAGAATCGATCGCCAATCGTAAGGAGCGCATATCCTTCAAAAAGAAGAAGGTAGTTCAAAAACTATCGAAATTAGTACTGCAAATTTTTTTTTTAAATTTATGCTGATCCTTAATGTTGGACTTTGTTTCTGATTGTTATTCAGCGTGATATTTAAACTAAGCAGAATAGTTTTTTTCCCGGATCTAACAAGAGCTTACTAAAATAAGCAATATAATTCTCTTAGTTCTCGATTCCTTAGAAAAGAACAGCTTCAGTCCCTATACAGCTGGTGTCTACATCGAAGACAAAGTCATATTCAGATTGGAGGTGAGCTAACACAAGTGCGGACGTCAAAGCGTCCTTCAGGATTTTAAATGCATTTTGACACTCATCACTCCACCAAAACGTTTACTTTGCTTTTATAAGCCCTTGTAAAAGGCCTTCCAAAAGTTGAGAAACTTTTGACAAATCTTGGATAGCAAGTGCAGAGGCCGAGGAAACTTCTTAACTGATGAATATGTTAAAGATGACACAAACACAAACTTCGATTTTGTTAGTGGTCTGTGGGTACATCTTCGGCGGAGATAAAATAACCAAGACATTCTCGACGAAGTAATTTACATCTGACGGGCTGAGCTTGTAGAGATTAGGGTTTTTTGGAAGCAGTAGATGTGAAAATGAGCAACGCTTTCGCCGGGAATCGAACCACGGATCTCTGAAATACGAACCCAGTTGCAGACCACTACACCACGAAGGACCGCTAAGAAGGTGGAAGAAACACCTTATATACTTCCCCTTTTAAAGGGCGAATGGGGTTTCTAGGAGACCCAATTGCCAAATTTTGTGTGTGGAGGTTCATCATCCACCGCCCTTTTAGTTCAGGCTTCGCTGTAGAGACATTAGGTATTTTTTGGAAGCAGGAGATGTGAAAAATGAGCAACGCCTTCGCCGGGAATCGAACCACGGACCTCTGGAATACGCGCCCAGCGTGCAGACCATTACACCACGAAGGCATGCTAAGATGGCTGGAGAAATATACCTTATAAGCTTTGAATTTCCTTATCTGAGCTTCTGTGGAACTTTTCTGATGTTTCCAAATACTCTTTAAAACTGCATCCTACTATAACAATACCGTCGAGATACAAAAATCATGCTTCATATAACAGTCCTTCCAAAACCATCTACATTAGTCATTCAAATATCGTCGGAGCCTTGCATAATCGAAAAAAATTACTTTAAACTGCCAGAATCCTTGATTTGTAGTAATTTCAGTTTTCTGCCGATCGTAAGAATCTATTTCTCTTTACCACTAGCCGCGCTTCAAATCCAGAGTGCAAAATCATTTGTATCCTGCTGGCGTGTCCTACGCGCAGCTTCCAGCGACTTTTTACTGTGCCACTAATGACGCATTCTTTTCTAATAGGGATACTAATAGTTCAGCTACTCTAAATCTCACAGTTTAACCACAGTTAACTAGCAGTCAACAACTCCCGAGCTTCTAGAGCCGCTTTTATGCAGCGTAACACAGGCATGTGTCTGGTGTAGTACAGTTTTCGTAAACTTTCGAGAAGAATCAATCGACAAGGCCCGTGAAGAACATCTCGTGTTTCACTTGAGCTATTTTTACAGGATGCAGATTGCCAGGTTCAGAACAGAAAGATCAACAATTGCATATAAGGAAAAAAAACACCTATATACTATGTGTAACCACAAATACAAAATAAAAAAAATAAATGAACACATAAAGCAATGCACAATATTAGAGCAGTGTAATAAAAATGATTTAAATATTTACAGATACATACAAAATAAATGTATAATTTTGCTTTTTATGAAAGAATTATCGATATTTTCTTTCTAAATGAATTTATTTAATTTCAATCGGTTAACAAATGCGAAATTTTTTTTTTGTGAATTGTCATTTTACTTTTTTCAAATCAATATAAAAAATAAGTTATTGAATTAATTAATGCTCCGGTGTTTCTTAGTTTTGAAAGAAGTTTTAATTCCAACAGGAGACCTAAACAAAATGATCTCCGTTATATTGTTGTGTAAGTGAATCACATTACTATTAAAAAGTGTTTCATTAATTCGGTAATTTATGTGAAACTTATCTTACTTTACTAAAATTTGCATAACGTTTACTTTTTTAATCGTGTATCAGTTGTTGTTGTTTTACTAATTATTATTTATTCATTTTTTTTACCATTTTCAGTGATCTTCCGCACTGGTACTTCTAATTTTAGAAATTAAGCCCTGGTTATAACACATATGTTACTTAACACTTTCATCATGGACACATAAGACTATCTCAGTCTAGTTGAAACACTTCTAATAATAACATTTAATGACATCAAGCTTTCGGAGAAATGATTTGTTTCTCGCAGCTTTCGCGGTTTACTAAGTAGCATTTTATGAGTCCTTTGGTAGATAATTAAGAAACTGATTACCAAAAGGCACGCGATAGTGAGAATATGGATGGTACATGCTACAGTACTGTCTATTATAACGTGTACCGTCGACATGCAAGACCAATTTTTATTTAAAAAATGTAGTAATACCTTTGAGAACGAATATCGACAGCAAGGAACACAGAAAGAATTCAAATCGTGTTTTTTTTAATCAAATCATAGACTTGGAGGCATCAATGACTTACAAATAAAGGGGCTGCTGAAAATGTCATCTTTTAGTTTCACGACCTTGGGCCTAATAACTCCCACTCACGGATTGTGATTGGTATCTGACAACCAACATCGAATTTCATCTCTTTATGGCTGTCGCAATGCTTAAATTAATTTATTATTCTTAACTTATGAGACATAGTTATTAGTCTTATCTGCACAGTTATGAATTAGTAAATATATTTAGGCGAGAAAAATAGTTTGATATTTGGTTATAAGTACGAAAATGTTTGTTTTTTTAATAAAAAATTCTTGGATTTAAATCATTAATCCAAGAATGTCGCTAGAATGGTGCGTCCTACACTGATTAATAAAAGCGATTAAAAATTCAATTATTGCTATGCGTAATTAATTACTTTATTGTTCGTTTCATTTTATCTCCTTCTGTAGATATGGTGGTGAGCAGGTGATGGAAGCGCTGATAGTCGAATACCGAATAAGTAATGGACATTCGTAACTATACTACCTTTTCAAAATCGGGGCATTCAAAATCCATTGATATTAAGATCCTGGAGAAGGAATCTGGTAAAACAGTTAAAGTACAAGGCTTTTTTTATCCCATCCTTACGTTTTTGCCTTAAGTGTTTCCATTCAGGCCTTTCAAAATGTTATTTTCATGCCATTGGTTAAAGGTTCCGAGTTTTGTATTTTTCATCTCATATCCATAATTTTTAAGATAAAAGGAGTATTAAGTAAGCCTTTATAAATTCTTTGGTATTTTTAATCTGAATGGAATTTTTCATTAAACGCGTCTGTTCTGCTATTTGATTAGTGCAACATCTAATATGATAGAGTTAAGTATTAATTAGAAGCTTAGATATCATAAAATATTCTAAAACGTTATCGTTTTCTCTCTTAAAACGTATATTATTGTGTATTTCATCCGCATATGTATAATTACGTTTTATTCTGGACTCTAATTGTAGAGTCATTAGGTTATTTCGAAGCAGGAAACATGTAAAATTATCAATGCCCTCTCCGGATATTGAGCCTCAGACCTCTCGAATACGCGCCGAGTGTGCTGACCATTACACCACGAAAGCATGCTAAAAAGGAAGAAGAAATACCTTATATAATTACAAAAGTAAACACTCTTAATTCTGAAAATTTTGTGAAAATGGAAAATATACAAAAAGAATGA